AGACTTCAACATATGGTCAAACTAGTAGGATTCACGTGACGACTCTGTTCACTCCTGCCCTTGACGTTAAAACAAAACAATGAAAATATAAGCATTACTGACAACCTCAAAGAAACCTACAATTAATGTTACTAGCGAAACTATAATATAACGTAGAATATAATTTCACTCTTTAATTTATCGTACATTATCATTGCACTTTTAGATTAACATGTAGGTAGGTATATAATTTATTTATGTTTTTGTATAAATTCACATTATTATTATTTTATATTTATTCAACTTTATGATACATTCAAAAATTAACCTGCAATAAAAAAAATAATGTTATCAATTTCATACTCATAAAATTATTTAATTTCTCTTATGAATTGTACTCGTATATCATATTATAACATATGATTTTCTTATACGCATATTGTTATTGTAGATTATTTCAATTTAATTTATTTAGGCCATTAATATTTTGTTAAGTGAATATTTAAATCATAATATGTAAACATTTATAATACACTCATGAATTAACGGTTGATAAGCAATTGATGTTTATTAATATGTTCTATTAAATATTGAAAGGTATTGATTCTCGCGGTATAAATCATATAAAATGATTTACAAGATATTTATATATCCGATATCAAAAAATGAAGGGTTTTATCTAAAATTACTGAAACTTATTAATTTGGTTATATAGTAATACGATGATAAATAAGTAACAAATATAGGTAGATGTACAGATAGTTGTAATATATAAAAACTAAAATTTTACAATTAGTGTCTCCAGCAATAAAAAACAGGACACGCCTAGATACGGCTGCATTCAATGATTTGGTACTTACACAAATAAAGCACAACTAGCGAAACTAATCTGATTACTTTATCATTGTAATTACACAGTTTTGTGCATATAGTATATTTATTATTGTATTACATTATTTTTATACGAAAAAAAAATATAGTATTGGTTCAAAGAATCATATCAATAATTTAAATAATGAATGTATATTTTATTATAACAAATACGAGTTAACAAAGCATTGGCGTTCTTTATATTAAGATTGAAATATCAAAACTAATATATTTCGTCAATAACTATAACTGTTCTTGAACATTCACACAAAATTACGATACATTTGGTCATATAAAGCATAAAGTCACAATTTAAAAATCATAATATAATACAATAACAACGTTCAACTAAAAAAAAATATATTTTTGAAATGTATACCCCATATTGATGACACATTAGAGTATTGCACGATTTTAATAGGTACATATATGAAATAGAAAATTAATAAAATATATTAAGATCTATAAAAATAAATGACCATTACAAAAACTTAGCATAACGACATTTGATTAAAAAAAAATAAAATAATAATACCTAAAATATAAATTAACACTTTTTAATGTTTATGTTATGATTGAGTGCTTATCAACCTGGGGGCTGTGGCTATATGACTGGGAGCCTTGAAATATTTACTTAATTTAAAATATTTTCGATTATTTAGTTATTATATAATATATTATAACATATATAAATGTAACGCGTGTAAATTTAGTATATCATTAAGAAAAAAATAATTAATGATTCTGATTTAGGAGCGCCTTGACAATTTTACATTAAATTTAGGGGCTCTATATAACAAAAAAGGTTGAGAAGCACTGTTATAGACTGTAGTCACTAGACGGTATATAAATCATATAGCACAAGATTTAGTAAAAAGTATAAATCAAATTTTATATATAGTCTGAAGGACGAAACACGTTGAATATTGAAAAGAAAAGTCACGTTTAAACAATGAATCAATGTCCATATTATAATATTAATCAGTATAACATATTAAACGAATACCTAATCACCATAAAATGTTTATAAGGATCAAAGTGTAGGTTGAATACGTTCCATAACTATAAACAAGTAGATCATAATTGATTGAACTAAAGACAACAAAAAATGAATAAAAACTCAGATAAAAAAATAACCGTAATAAGACTTGTATAAATTATCGCAGATGAAGAAAACTATAAAACACCTCAATTTATTTCTCGTTATATCATTCAGTCTCATATTTTCATTGTACAATGTACGATATCATATGCATAATTCTTAATTTTTAATTCTAAAAACTAAAACAATTTTAACTTTTTAATTATATTAATTAGTACATAAAACATATTTTTTTAAATCTCTAGGTACAACTATGAATATAAAAATCGTTACCATTCTGATTTTATGGATTCTCGTTATCGACGGAACAATATTACATGAAGATAAATCACATACTGAAAGAAGTATATTTTTTAGTTGTTTAAAACGCGTTAAATATTATTTATTGACGTTGTCAAAAATTATTAAAATAGTATATAATTACACATGCATTTTTTTTATGTTAACGCTCTTTCATATTGTTAACCTTATATAGATATTTAAAGTTTTGACCATATCACTTAATTACTGATTAATAAATATTGCATAAATTATACATTTGCATTGATATCTTAAAAAAACATAATTTATAAATATAAAAAATATATTATTTTATAAAAACTAATAAGAACTTTTACAAGTATAAATATACATAGAAGTGCAAAATATAATACTTTTCTTAAAGGAATTAATTAAGTACTGGTTTGATAAACATTTTATAAATATTTTATATAATTTCTGTGATACGAATTATACTTGATTTTTTAAAGTACATAATAGAGATTTACATAATTGTATAGATTGTTGTAGTTACCTGTGTTAATTTTAATTTTATATATATTTAGTAATTTATTTTCATTACACTATCTATACTTGTTATTGATGATAAAATTAATGTTTTATGTAATAATGTATGTAAAAATGGTCACTATATTTATTTTAGGTTGTCTCTTCAACATAGAAGAAGGAGGACAAATATGTACTGATATTGAATACAAATCCCATGCAGGTATGTTTTATAATTTTAAATATTTACAAACTACAACCCATTAATCATTATTATTTCATGTTATAGTTTGAAAATAATTATTAAAAAAGTATATAATAATTATCGACGCATTTTAATTATATAAGCTCTTACTTTATATTACGCATACCTATATAGATAACATCTATATTATTTTTAACCTGATAACTTGATCACTGATAGGCACATAAGCGATGTATTGTATCTTTATATATGAATCCCAACAGTACATAATTTATTAGTACTTATTAATACTATAAAAATTCAACGCCTTAAAAGAATGATTGTATATACATAAAAATATACAAAAGAACTATTAAATATATATATAAATATAAATATATTTCTATAATTTAAATATTTTCTTTCAAGTAAATAAAAGAAATTAAAAAAAAAAATGAATACGCATTTCATTATGTCTTTAATTTGTCTTACATTTATAGTAATTTATTGAAATTATATTATTTATAAAGATATTAATTTTTTCTTTTGATATTTTTTTCCAAGATGATTATGACATCACAACAATTTGTAAAACAATATCGGTGAATAATAAAGGTAAAGAAGACATCCATAAATATTTAACAATCGACATCATTTTTAACATTAAAACATAAAATAAACTATTTTCAGGAAATTCATTCAATACTTCAAATAGTATCGGATGCAATGATGTAAAAATACATTTGAGAACAAATGCAATTGGTATGCCGATTAATTTTAATGGTTTAATTTTAAGTTCCGATAAGAAAAGTTTAGAATTCATAGCAGACACTAAGTACCCAACAACATTAAACAATATTTTTACAAGAAACCAAATCGAGTACAACCCCGATGAATGGACCATCTCGGAATTATCTATGTCTAGTACGTAAATTAAAATATTAAAATTAAAAAAAAATGTTTAAAAATTCTAATTGGTAAACGGTGATAAATCATACAACTATAAATAATTAGATATTACTGAAAAACAATGAAAAATATCTTTTCAAAATCGTTTAGTCTCTTTTCATTTATAAAGTTTTAAAATAACCTAAATGTTTAGATTTTTATTCAATACATTACCTATATGGTTATAGATGGAGCGGAACCCCCGAAAAAGTTCAATTATGATTTGCTCTTATGGAAAGCTAATACCAATGAAGAATCGTTCGAGATCAAATGGAAACAAATAAATTCAATTAAAATGTGTATATCTATATCCTATTTACTAGAAGATGAATCGAAATGTACTTTGTCAATGGCCTTAACTGATAAAGACAATATTGACGAAAGATACATATTATATTCTAATTTAACAGAATCGGTAACTTAGTTATATACATGAATTTTAATATATTATATTGCTTACATACTAGTTAAAAAGCACCATGTTACTTTTTATAAATTTGAATACAGGAGAACAAAAACATATTATATTATATATTTTATTAATATACATATATGTATATAATGGTTTTATAATTTCTTAATTTTTTGAGCATAACATTTTTATTTTGCCAATTCAATGTTACGAATATCATGAATCTTTATACCACCTTGCTGTTATGTAAATTAAAAAAACTATTTTTTGAAAAAAAGATTCTATTCAAGACAAATTATACATGTAAAATAAAGGGTTGAGTTTGTAATACAAATTTTATATTTTACAGAAAGAATTAAAAACGGTATTATTAAAAAGTAATAATTGGTTACATGAAAATAAAACATATAAATTAAATTTTAAACTCAAAAAGAAATCGGAAGTAAAAAGGTACGATTACGAAAGTTCTTATGAAAACGAGTTTATTTATACGAGTAAAACAATATATGCCGAAGGTTGTAAGATTGGAATCAAACGTATAGCTCAATGCACAGATGACTATGGTAATTAAGATTAACAGTTTATACTTAAGTAATACATATCAGCGTATACAATTTAAAATTTTCAAACATCAAATTATATTTACGTTCAAATATTTAAAATTGTTTATTTTTTTTTTTTTTTTTTTGTCAATATTTACTCTTAAAATACGTTAAATTTCAAAAGTAAAATATTACCCAGTCAAAAAAATTACACTTATATTCATCACTATATTAAAAAAAAAAAGTTTATTTTAAATTCTGATTAAAACCGCAAATGGTATTATTTTTGGATTTATTTTTTTTAGTTTTCCAAATCTCTTAGATTCTTAGCCACTTTTATTTAACTTCAAATTAAATTAACAACCGTTATACCAACATAAAAATAAATTACTTAAAGTAATATTAAAAAATATCAGGAAATAAAATTAGTGAAATATTGACATATTTATAATATCAGTAGCGGATCTTTACTCATTTAAAGGGGGGTGAATTTGTGTTATTAGAGGGCCGATTTTTAGAAAATTAAAATCTAGCAAGCCAAAACACAAAAAGCAAAAAAAAAAAAGGCCATTCAAAATATGAATTTTAATAAGCATTTTTTTTGTTAATAATGTAGATTAGTAGCACGGGCCAGATATAAAATTCTGGCAGGGCACCAGTTGCCTACCCGTACTATAAAAAAAAAAGCACAAGGGAGGGGGGCGATTGCCACGTCACCATTCCTCAAATCCGCTATTATATTAAATATACATTTCGAGATATCATTCCGCGACAAATCGTTTTTCGTATATAATGATACATCATTGAATTCAAATTAAATAAATAAATAACAGTGATCCACAATACCCTTATTTACTGTTGCATTGAGCAATATGCACTTGCCTTCATTTTTATATAGACTTATAAATTATAATATAAATATGATAATAATAAAAATAATAATATTATGTTAAAATAGAAAACGAAGAAATATTGACAATAACAGCAAAAGAATTACAAAAGACTCCATCTTCAGCTTCGTTAACATTCAACGTTTATCCATTTGGTAAGAAATTTTGTATCCATCTAAATAAATTTTACATATTCTTTAAATGATACTGCAAACATTTTTTTGAGAATAAAAAATAGAATAATCCTCTTCTAAGATCTCAAATAAAATATTTGAGTACCGCGTTTTTAATTTTATTTTTTCATAAATAACATTTTACTATCTAAACTAATCAAAAAAATTAAAAATTGATAATCAATGTACTGGTTATAACTTATAACGTATCAGAATGAGAACCACGGTAATTCTAATAATATTATTGAAACGGAAATAAATTTTAACTGCTTGATTATTAATTGTATAGTTTTTTCATTATTGAGTGCAACAGACAAAGCATTAAAATTTAAGAAAATTGTCACACAGACACTTACGAGTATAATCTGTGATAAGGTAACTGTGATTTGGTAACATACAAATGTTAAGTAGTAAACAATTCTACAACTGACAGAAAAGAAAACAGTAAAAACATAATTCTTGGTTTTGAGAAAAGTATAGTAACATTATTGAAGTATATCTACTACCATTTCAAAATTTAGTTAATTTAAGTTTAATTAATAAAAATCTTAAAAGAATACAAGCAAGGCCAGAACTTCTCCAACTTACCTATAAAAAACAAGCGTTTTAATAAAAAAAAAAACATAAACAAATCAAATACAATGGCTGTGTAGAAACGCTAGGTGGAAAATTTTTTATAATAACTAGGATCGAAACACATAAATTATTTTAACCTATTTATTTTTCTTTAAATATTATGATATGTTTAAAATGTTAGTTTCTGAGTCACATAAAAAAGATATTTCACTGTCTATGGAGTGCCTAAACGGAGGATTTGCTAACAAAAATGGTTGTACGTGTCCTCCCGGTTTCAAAGGAAATAACTGCGAACATGGTAAATAATTTTAAAAAAACACTAAAATAAATTCATACATTTGAAATCGATTATGCTACATTTTAACATCATATAAACTTGTCAGGATGCGGACCGAATACGTTTGGAGTTGATTGCACCGGAATGTGTTCAATGCATCTAACGCAGTGTCGACGGATGAAGTTTTGTACTCGCGGATTTGGATGCAAATGTCCAGCGGGATATAGTGGAGACGACTGCGGTACAGGTACATTAACACAATTATAAATGAAAACTTGAAAATAAATAAATTTTGTAAATTTTATATAAAAAAATTGTTTGTTTGTTTTAATTAATTAAATTAAATATAAATTTATTTTTTTGTTTCTTTTCTTCTCTATAATTCTAAAGTATAAACCAATATTACTACTTAAACGTCAATTGCGCAAAAGGACTCAACCCGTATATTCATAATATAAATATAAAAGAAATCTAAATTTATATACATTTGAACATAATGGATATGAATACATTTGTTCTTAAATTTAATTTAATAATATATATTTCAATGTTATAAGGAATTTTGGGTTGAAATAAAATTCTATGTAACTCTAAGTGCCCCAAAACCCAAGGCAAAACACACAGTGGCCAGTTTGATAAATACTTAATAGTAGCAAAAATTTTACAATGTATTATCTAGGCGTTCTACTACTACCTTATAGATATTTGACAAAACTTGTTATAGTAACTTAAAAACAAACTATTTCGGCATATTAAGAATTTTTTTAATATTGAGTGCTCATAAATCCTGTATCAGTTAGTAAAATATAAATTTTATTATTGATCGATGTTTTACACGAGCAGAATGTACAAGTGGTACGTACGGTGTAAATTGCGAGCAACAATGTTCAGAGGGATGTCGTTTTAAATCATGTGACGTTTACACCGGCATTTGCAACAGAGGATGTACGACCAATTACATAACACCGGATTGTAAAGAAAGTAAAAATAAAAAAAATAAACGTTTATAGTGTTAGTGTTACGTATATTAATAATATGGTATAATTCGTTTTGCGATTACAGAATATCCATGGCTCAAATCTCCGCCACAACTGGAATCGTCGGATTTTAAGTCACTAAAATTGAAAATTAATTTTAATTCAGAAAATATACTAGGCAGCAGCAATGTTACCTCTGCCTATTATCAAATTGTATATAAGGTAAATAACATAAAAATTAAATGTGTAAATGCATATAATAAATAAATATACAAATAATACAAATATAAACAATGGGAATTAATGGTGTTATAAAGTGAAAAGAAAGTTGTAAAAATTATATTATAGTAAATTTAGAAACGCTTAGATAATAATTTAAAAATTAAGAGTAACAAACCAAAAAAAATATTTTATTGGCCTTAACTAATAAAAATTTAACTGATGTCCGAGCGTCAGGTGTTTTGTATATTAATCTATTTTAAGCACTTCTTTTTTGTAATAAATATGTATTTAAGGATGCTTCAAACGAATCAAAATATCAATACATGGAACTTAAAGAAATTGGACAAGAAAAATCTGTAGTGGAAATCATAGATGGTCTCAATTCGGGAATATCGTACACTTTTGGTGTGATCTTAGTTTCAGAAGATGGAAATTACAACCTAGAAGATATGCAAACAATCAATTACTCTACAAAGTGCCTAAGTATTCATAATACTTACTATCTACAATAGAATTACAATAATTTATGTTTTAGAATATCATAAAGTAGTATAATAATTATTATTTTTTGTATAATATAGTGTCAGAAAATACAAACTTCGAAGTAAACTTAATGAGTGGCACAGACTACATAAATGTTACTTGGAACAAGGTAAACAACTAAAATAAAATTGCAAACAGTGCTTCGGCATGTTATTTCATGGCTTTATAAATATATTAAAAAAAAAAATAACTTTTAATATTTACTATTATTTGTAGTTTAATAATCGAAATGAAGAAAACTGCAAAATAACAAAATATTTATTGAAACTAATATTTAATAATACACCTCTACAGCAAAAAAGTTACTCAGAAGAAGTAATATCTGAAAAAAATGATGGATATACGTTTGAAAATCTACTACCAGGTAAAAAATACGCAATACAAATAATAGATATATCGACAACAGGTCAGACTAAAGCATCAAACGTTTCATATATTTACACCAAATCTTACGGTATGTAATAAATTTTATTTATGTATCGTACAATCAACAAATGATAAACTTATTTTGCAGAACTTATTCAAATAAAAAACATTAAATCCAAATTAAATCAAAATTCATCACTAACAATAACGTGGGACGTTGATGAAATTCATGCAAATACGCCATTAAATTTTGAAATTAAATACAAGGTATAATGATTATAATATTTAAAATAACTTACTTATTTAATAACATACAAGTAGACGGAGAAAATTTTAAACTATAATTAACAATACCACACACATTTGACATAATATATTCGAAAAATCAAAACTATGTCTAGGTCAATAAGCATTTTAGTTGTTCAAACGAAATCATTACAAACAACTGGACATCGCTTTTAGTTTACAATCAGACGAAAGGAGAAATTTGGGATTTGATACCGAACACGCAGTATGTTATAAAAGTTGATCCATTAGTTAAAGGATATACTTATGACAACTATACTAATATGATTTTCGTAAAAACACCTACCTCTAGTTAGTAGTATTCATAAATTGCAGTTTAAAACATAATTAAAATATTTTGTAATATTTCAAATGGTTGATAATATTCTAGAACCTAAGTTAACACCTGTAATTAATGATGAAAATGGTTTGTATACCACCAATCAAAGTGTACATTTCAGTTGGAAGATAAACAAGACCGAGTGTTCTAAACTAAATGGTTTCTTTCGAGGATACCAGATCATACTAAAAGTTAGTATAATATACAAATTTACCAGAAATTTAGTGTGTTTTTTTTCTTTTTTCTATATCATAAAACAGCATTAATTGACTTATTATTATACACAACTTAACAAATAATATTTTAGACGTTTTGTTATTTATAATAATATATGGTATCGTGTCGTATAGGATAATGTGGAAGGCACGCAAGTAATAAAGTCCATAAAAGAAAACTCGGTGACAATTAATGAATTAAAACCTGAAAACAACTACGAACTGCAAATATACGTATTGACAAATTACGGATACAACTTGGAACATGGATTGTTAATACCGTTCAAAACCAAAACTAAATGTAACGATAATTTCTTTGATTAATATTCCCTGCAAAAATCATTTTACTGTAATATTATTTATGTCCAAATAATATGTACACGTTTCAGTTTTAGAACCAGTGGATGAATTAATTGTTTATAAGAAAAACTTAAAGCGTAAATCGATTGGAGTCAGATGGAGTTTCCACGATGAAAACGTCATCAATGGTTTTATTGTCGTCGTAATCGATGAAACTTCGAATAATACAAAAGAAATTTTCAAAGAACCTACAAGATGCGTTGCTTGGCCAACATTTTACTGTACTACTATTGAAAACCTTGTACCAAACAGCCAATACACCATAAAAGTATAATATATTTAACTCACCTGGAATTGAAGATTTATTTAACAACTAAATTATAACACTTTGTAACGTTGTGTATTTTGTTTAGATAAAAGCCAAGTCAGTAGACTATCCAACAGGTGGTTCAACAGCATCGGTCGTCACTAATTTCAATGATGGATGTGAGTATATATTATACATTTTTATAGGTTTTAGAAATACTAAGTAACAGTATGTTTAAAAACGAATCTAAACAGTTGCAGATAAACCGGAAAATCTCAGAGCAGTCGACGTTGGCTCCACAAACATTACATTGGTTTGGGACATTCCGTGGATACTCAACGGTGAACTGAAATCGTTTATATTGAATACTGAAGAGATTTCGTCTCAAGACATCGATAAATGTTGTGACAGCAAACCAGACGTAGAGATTCCAGTAACAGAAGAACTTCCGGCTTATAACTACACAGTAATTACGAGATAACTTTTTATAGAATTTCGATCAATCACAGTGGTTAATACGTGTAATATACGTATTAGTATCAAAATTGCTATCGTTGGAAACGATTTTATAAAAATATAAGCCCATGTTATATTAATATAATATGACACATTACAGATAAATGACTTAAAGCCCGGATCTACTTATTCAATTGGTGTTTTGTCCAAGACTTCAACATATGGTCAAACTAGTAGGATTCA